GCAGGTTTCTTAGACCAAGGTATTTCTTTATTGTCATAAGTTTCTCAGCAATAGGAATAAATTAACAGGCATTGAATGCTCACTTGGGCAACATAGTTGCAATGAGAACATATGGCAAACTTATAAGAATACAAGGAAGAACCTCCTTGGAAGAGCAAACGTTTCCAGCTACCAAACCAGTGGATTGTGGCAAACTCTGAACTAGTTCGCCAGTCTACGAAAAAAGACAGCCTTTCACAGAAGCTGATATATTAAAAAAGAAGAGACCATATAAAGAGTATACGCCAACATACTGACATTGAGGAGGAGGCTGGGGTGTATGGGGTTTCATGGTGCTCATAACATTATTGGTCAATATTTAATTTTAGAGAAGGACAAAGACAGGTTTGAGGTATATTATAATTATATACATAATTATATAAAAGCTTAACCGGTACTAATATGATTGGTTAAATATTCACACAGGCACGAATGCGATAGCAACTAGATATATCGATTTTCATTAAAGGGTGGAATGCCAAAAATTTATCCCGTTACATGACCAGTATCACTTCATAATTATTAGTAAAATTATTTGTTATAGTAATTTACTTAATCAAATTGTAACGAATTCATAGCATCAATTATCAACTATTTTCTACCAGTAACAAACTTCAACGTGGCCACTAGGGTACTGAAGTTGATGCAAGTGCTGCCAATATGAAGGTTTTTTGACTGACATTATAAAATTTTGTAATAAGTGTTGCAAGTAGTTGTAGTACTCTCAATAATAATGAATGGCTATTGTTTGAAATTGTCTATAAAATATTGTGACTTTCAATGAAAGATATGTCTTAATTGAAAAAGTGTTGTCCAATAATAGATAGCACTTAATTCATTATCCTTCTCTCAGTAAAACAGAGTCCCCTCTATTACATACAGCAAATACAAATTAAAAATGAGCCAGTTACTGAATCAAGAAAGGAGGTCATTAATGACATTCTTTATCTGTGGAGGGCATTAAAGATGTAGCATTTTTGGAGAACTACGCTGAAGAGGACACCATCTTATTATCTGGAGTTAGGGATTATGGAAAGGCCAAGCTATTGCCTTCCAGTGTGTCACAACACATGGTTTACAGGCAGTATGCTAATGCTAGCAGGGATGATGCTCTCAGTGAATGTTGTTTCGAAAGAATATAGAGAAAGTATGTTCCCAATGCTCAAAGAAGTTTCCAATATAACTATTTTCTTTTGAGAGATTCATAAGCTGCTTTATCACTAGCATAACTTTTGCTGCCACTCTTAAATGCCTTTTTTTGATCATTAGTCTGATTCTGCAGCATGCATCATATTATGCTGTACTTTTGATGTGGTCAAGAAACTTGCAGTTTTTTTGTTGGAATATGTAGTTGTTTCAGTATGCTTCAATCCACTGAAGACTGGAACTACGAAATAAAAACAAATGTGATTGCCACTAATGGAGCTGAGACAAGAATCTTTCAACTATAAGGTAAAGTACATGTAAGAACAGCCATTGAATATTTCAAGTAGTGTTTGAATATGTTCAGTTTACTATGAAACCTCATAGTACAAATAAAATGACATATAAGTATTGGTTTTTATGAAGGCAATGAAGGCAGTCAAGGAACTTTAGAAGAGCCTCAGTTCAAAGGCAATAAAATTCCATTTTATTAAAAAATAGTGCAAGGCAAGTAGTTATTTATAAGTCAATATTTGCTCAGGCTGTCTTACATAATGGTATCTTTGCTAGATAGTTAGATATCATGGCAATAATAACATTGTTAAGAACCAACTTTGTATATAAAAATTGCTGAAAATTTATTATTGTTACTGAACATTTCACAAGAATTTCATTAAAGTTTAACTCCCTTATGTCTTGAGCCAAAAGCAATACAAATGCAAAAACTGTTTTTAACTGTAAGGTTTTATGCAACAGAAAATTCTCAAGACAGTAGCCTGAAGTGCAATATCACGGAATGACATCCCATTAGGAACTTTGTGTAACTGTATTTTCATCTTATTATATAATTTAACTTGTTTAATGAAGTCTCCAGGTCAAAAGTTCAATTTGTGATTTATTAGAAGTCCAAAGGAGATGTAGATATAAATTAATAAAACTCTGACAACAAGGTCATACCAAAAATGCTGAGATCTCGCAAGCATCGTCCACAAAAATTAAAGGCAGAAGAGTAGATATATGAAGTAGCAAAAAATTCTGGACATGAAGATTAAAGGTGGCAAAAAATCCTATACATTTTCATATGCTAATAACATTTGTAGGCTGGTTCTGTTAATGATTTAAGTCAAGGGAATGACAGTACAACATTGTTTGAATTAGATGAAGGCCCTACTATTCAGTCAGATGACAGTGTTAGTGCTTGCACTCCGTGTGCACCATCCTTTTCACATTTGAGTGATATTTCTGGTAGGTTAGTGTATTGCCATACAATATTTATGTTCTTTGCTACATAGATTGTGAATCTGATTATAATGAAGTGAATGAAGATAATTGTGATGATAATAATGGGAATTGGAATGTTTTTAGGATCATAGGTGATAATCTCGATAAAAATGTGAAACCTCGATATAGACGCATTGACCGTGGTACAGATTCATTGCACTTTTTTCACATATATGCTGTGAGAGACCGTATTAACCTCTCAAGTGTACCAGATAGCCCCAGTCCCAGTATTAGCATTCCAGTGTCTGAGCTACCAATTGAAACATTATTACCATCAGAGTCTGATTATCAAGGCTTACCGTATAAGTGGTTTTTTCGAGGGAATGATATTTCGCGAAATCTGCTAAAATTCCAATTCGCGGATTTTAATTTCGCAAATCCTACCACGTGTGCATGCGGGTACCGTATTAAATTGATTTTCGCGGATTTTATTTTCGCAAATTAGGATGAAATCCGCGAAATTCGCGAAATTTGCAACCCTCGAAAAAAACCACTTATACGGTACTTTCTGACTTTTCTGTGTTGGTTAGTCGAGTTTTGGTCTCAAAATTAAAATACTTTTCGGAAACATTTCATGATGTCGTAACACACCACATTACTCACAAATACAGTAAAGAAATGTATCAGAAGTCAGAAACGATAATTGATTTACATGTACATTTAGTTTTTAAGATTTCAATTTCATTCTTTGTTTCCTTTAGGTGCCACTGGGTGTAATACTTAAAAATGAGAATAATTTAGATGATATGATAGAGATTCTTGAAGAAGTTAGTAAGTATGTTCCTGTATCTCAGAGGGAGGAAAGCGACTGTGTTACACAAAAGATGGTTTCAGCTGATCGATTGCACTGTTTGTTGATTGGGGGAGACCAACTTACATGTAAGAGGATTGAAACAGCAATCGAATTACGGCAGAATGGCTCAACACCAATTCATGCTCTAAAAGGTATACAGCCTGTATGTGAAGACTGGCATGCCAAGAAATGTTTACTTGAAGTAAGTTGTATCATTTATATCAGTGACCTCATGTTTTATAGGTGATTTGGAAGATGTTTTATGATACTAAGAGTTTCATGGACAAAGGAAGCAAGGCACAATTGAGGAATTTAATAGATCGGAGAAATATCAGTGCTGATTCGGAAAGTGACTATAATGCCTGTGACGATTTTTTCCCTGTAGTAGTTGAGTGTCATATCATTGCTGCAGCTATGCAGTACTTAAGATGGCTACAATCAATGATCAACCGTCTCACTCTCTGCTTATTGCTGGTTTGTGGCTAAAAAGAAGGTGAGGTTAGAAAGGATGTTTTAAATAAGGTTACCATAGATATAGTTAGTGAGTTTGTTGATTTGGATGTAGGGTATAAAAAGAAAGGCCAAACTAGTAGTGATGGCAAAGATGACGATAAAGTTTTTATTTATGCTACTGAGCTTTTGTCATATGGGCTTTTATACTTGGAGTTTTCAGATTCAATTCGGGAAGGGGATGGTAATAGAATTCTTCGCTGTTGGAGGTATCTCACACTAGCTTTTAAAGAGGCTCAGCGTAAGAATTATGCCATTGAGGGATTGAACCTACTTAGCCAGTACCACTTCTTTTTTAGTCCTCGTCAAAGAGAACAGTTACTGTGGAGCAGGTGCATTAATGTCCATGGAATAACAGGAAGGAATATTGCTGCTGATTTGCATCTTGAACATTTAAATAGAATGTGTAAGGTTGCTGTAGAGAATTTATGTTCTAATAAGACACCTGGTGCCTTGAAGCGTGTAGGTAGATGCATGGGTGTTTTATCTAAGCTGGCAGAAACATTTGACAAAGAACTAGCGATTTCAGAAACTTTTGGAACACATTCATTGTGTAGTTCAGATAAGGACATGAACATAATTCTTAGAGAGTTAAATGAAAGTAATATTTTTACATATACTCAAAACAGAGTGATTCATTCATCAAGGCTTTATAGTGCCCTAAAGAAGAAACCTCTTTCTAATTTTGAAATGGCTTCATTACATGACTGGATGTTGAAGCACTTAAAGTCACTTCGAAACATACTATATTAATCATGTTAATCATAGAGTAAAGGATTTGAAACAATAATATAATATAATATTGTTGATTGGCCAAGATTAACTGTTTATAAGATCAAGAGTAGATAATTAACTGAAACAAAGGAATTTATTCCAAACATTAAACCCTATAGGAAACATTGACATGAAAACAATAAATTAAATGGGTAATATAGCACACTAATCTTTGCAAACAAACATCATAAATAATACAAATCATTAACTTAAACCAAAGAATAATGGTATGAATGAATAGTGTTCTTGCAAATTGCTTTTGCAGTTATGAAAAGTACAACTTCTAATACAAATGTCACAACAATTGCATCCCATGTTACATGATGCTTTACAAAACATGTCAAATTGACTAAAAAGTAATTCTCTCCTGCAAATGCTAGTATTATTTGTGTAAGTCATCATTGCTTCAGAACAGTGCTGTAGTAGTTTTGATGTGCTCAAAAGTATAGCATATGAGGGTATTCCATCCCTACCTCCTCTTCCTATCTCTTGTACGTACATTTCTACATCTGACGGAGGACCCACAAGAATTATTAGACATACATCTTGACAATCTAACCCCATTCCAAATGAAACAGTTGATATGACTATCCTTAAACGTGATGGTCTTGTAAAATTTGATATTATCGCCTCTTTAATTTTAGCCTCTGTTCCTAAAAAGAACATATCAACTAAGCGATGGTCTGGCAGAAACTGTGATGTTCCTGATGGATCTGTGAACTCGTCACCCATGCTACATCTAAAGTATGTATATAATTTGGCACAGTCTGCTTTGTGTTTACAAAATATAATAACCCTTGGCAGAAGAGTACACATTCTTCTTAGATCATTAAGTAAATGTTTAAAGAAGACATCATAGCTTCCAATTTTAAGCACGGTATACCTTATATTAATCTTATCAGGAGACTGAACAATAAGGAATGGTGTATTCATACCCAAGAGATGTGAAACCTTTTCCCTTAGTGAAGTTGAAGCTGTTGCAGTTAAAGCCAATATGTGAACACTGGCATCCATTAAACTCCTAACTTCACCAATCCTGGCAAAGCACTCACGAAAAGTAAGACCCCTACAAGAAGCATGATATAATAACAACTGAAACTATTAGGTGTGATAAACAACATAACAATGTTATATATAATTACCATTTAACAACACAGTGTGCTTCATCAATAGCAAGACCAATTAAACGCCTCTGATACACTTTATTCATAAAAAGACTTCTCCATTTACCTAGCAACATTTCTGGACTCAAAAGCACTATACTATATTTCCCCTTCAGCACATGAGATTTAACTTCAATTGTACTGTCAGCATCTAAATAACCAACATCAAGGCTTTTCTTCCTCAGTGTCTCAACATGATTCTTTATGAGTGCTGTGAGTGGACTAATGACAATGAGAATAGACTTCTCTTCACTACCCCTGCTGTGTAACAAGTCAAAAACAAGTGGCAAGCAAGCAAAGCAGGCTGTCTTTCCAAAACCGGTGGGTAAGACACAAAAAACATCATTTCCTTCGACAAACTTGCTGATGCAGAGTGTTTGTTCGTCTTTCAATGGATAGTATCCTAATTTCTTCCCTGCTTCTACTACAGCAACATTTACATCCATAATATTATATCCAATCCATCTGCAAAGCGGAACACGTCATACCACGTGTGCAGGAAGTGACTTGCACGTGACATCCGGTGTGACGTCATCAATTTCTGCTCATATCAATGGCTTCCTTCTGAACAACTGCAGTTAAGGCAAAATACCAGACCCTTCCCCGCTGTCCACCCAAATGACTGTAGGCTGGGGAATGGTCTGGGCGGCGAGACTAGTCTCCTACATTGTTAAGACCACTGATGGTATTGAATTCCGATGACATGTTGATCAGTTGAGATATCGATCTCCACATTGTGAACCACCCGAACCAGATGATGCTGATTTAGATGATGATTGGGTAGGGTACTCACCATCCCCAATTACTGTGGATGATCAACCGAGGCCTCCTCCACCAAATTTGCCACAGCCTCTTCCAGCAGCCCGTCGCTCCACAAGACCTCGATGACCTGTTGATCGTTATGGACCATATCTTTCATCTTAAGAAGGGAGGAATGTTGTAATGTAATCGATTATTCCTTATTATTTAACTATTATTAATTATTATTAAGTAGTTATGATTATGAATCTTGTTATCAATTTGTGTTATAAATAGTCATTTTTTTGGTCCTTTCTTATGTTCTGTTCTGTGCTATTTTTGTGATCTTTGAGGCTGCTATTCTTTGTAATTGTTGCTCAAGTTTCTTTTATCATAAAACATTAAAAAAAACCAATACCTTTCCTTTGTGCAAATTCTATATACCCCACTACAAATCTCTTTCACAAACAGCTTTAACTAAGCTTATCTCTGAAACCTTTCTGAGAGTCAAGTTTCCAAAGAAGCATCATTTTTGGAATTCACTACTCGCAAGCAAACTACTTTATGGGAATGGCTTCATTATCGTACTGGACTTATCACAGCATCTCACTTCCATGATGTTATTCACCATAGCTGGCGAACAATGCCAAAATTCAAAATTAAAGCTATACTGCAGTATGACAAACTGAACGCAGACTTACCAGTTTTGAAGAGTGGAAGAGAGAATGAAGATGCAAGAATCAAGCAGTACTTGGCTGAATTTGGTAGAAAGCATGTCAATTTGAAGTATGAGCGTGCTGGATTCTGATTGAAGTTAGATGTACCTATAAATATTGTAATGATTCCCCATATGTCCTGAAGCACTAGCCAATAAGAACTATTTCTTAAAGAAAGATCAATCATAGAAAGTGTCACTTGATGTTACACTTGATGTTAAGTATAAATATCATGCTCAGGTTCAGGTACAACTGTCTTTATGCGAACGTCCATATCTTGATTTTACTTGTTGGACGACTAAAGGTATTTTTGTACAATGCATTGTGAAGGAAGATTTTCTAAGCAAACACTTACCACAGCTAAAATGATATTTTATTGAGTATTTACTTTCAGAGATACTTACACATAGACTTTTGTTTCTTCTGAAGAGCCTTGCAGTGCAAGCATAAATGATACATATATTGCCTATGTAGGAAAGGGGAGAATATGGAGAAATGGTAGCCTGTGACAATAGTTCCTGTACAGTTGAATGGTTTTACATGGATTGTGTTAAACTTGATAAAGCTTCAAAAGGAAAATGATTTTGTCCCACTTGTCGTAAGAAATGAAGGCATTGATTTTTGTGCATATTAATTTATTAATTAACAGAAACGCACACTTTAACACAGATAATCTTCAATGTCTCCTTTAAGTCTAGCTCATTCTTTAAACTCATTTTGATTTTGAATTTAAGATTAAATAATTAAAATAAAAATAACATTGTCATTTTGGTACAACAGAGGGAGAAAGATTGGTCAATGCTGCTGTAACAATCAAAATTTTGTCAATAGGACATAAGGCATAAGGTTGATCATGTTTCGCCTTGATTAATGAAATAGGAACTGTTGTACTCAGAATCTTGTATTTCATCTTAAATTTCCTATTACACATTCAACATGTATTCTTCTTTTAGCAATTTGCTTCATTTCTTCGATTTCTATTTGAGAGAGCTGTTTTTTTCTTTGGTGAATGCAGGAACAATCAGTTTAGCTCCAATTACAGCTAATTCATCAACAATGTTAAAACCATGGTCAACCATAACAGCATCACCACCCACCCTCCATAACCTTTTGAATAAAACAAATTGATCCTGTTGGAGAAAAAGCTATGAATACTCTTACCATATTGTGTTTTTATAATTACTGTAATACATATTATTATAAAAGTATCCAGGTTTTTCAGCAGAGCTCGACAAGCAACTAATATCTGATTCCAAAACTGAAACTTTAGAAGAACATCAGAAGCACAATGGTTTAATTGCTGACAAAATGTACATTAAGGAGGACCTGGTTTATTACCAGAATACTGGTGATTTGATTGGATTTTGTGACATTGGAGACATCAACAACCATTTGTTGAAACTAGAAGCGAAGTACAACAATCAGCAGGAAAACAATCACGCTACCTACATACAAACACTAACACTAGCAAAGACGATGCTTGTCATAATGATTCGAGGACTCTGTAATCACTTCACTTTTCCTTATGCATCTTTCCTGTCAACCAATCTAACTGGAGAACAGTTGCTTCCAATTTTTTTGGAAGCGATAACAAGATTAGAAACATGTGGTTTCAAGGTCACCACCATCACACTAGATGGAAACTCTGCCAACAGAAGGTTTTTAAAGCTAATAGGTGACAACTCAGGTTCTGTGACGCATAAATTTTAAAATCCTCTGAGTGAAAACAAGAGGTACGTTTACTTTTTTTCTGATACACCACATCTCATCAAGACCACTAGAAATTGTCTAGCAAATCCCAAAAGACATATGAAAGTAAGAAAGCAATATAGATCTACAAACTATACATACTATAGTATAATATATATCATTTTTTTAGTTAAACGGAAAATCTGTATCATGGGATCATGTCAAGAAGCTTTATGAGATGACTATTTCTAATAATGGCTTAACAACACTTCCGAAATTAAAGCACGAGCACATCTTCTTGAACAACTATTCCAAAATGAGAGTAGACTTGGCTGCCTAGGTAACATTTATTCTAAAGAATAATGTTTAATAATTGCACAAAATAATCTTTAGACACTCAGTTCAACCGTTGCTAATGCCATTAGGCTTTTTTTGAAAGAAGATGCAGAGGAGACTGCCATATTTATTGAAGATTCGATAAATTCCTTGATATAATAAATGTCTGGAATTACTCTGAATTTGTCATAAAGAGAAATTATGACAAATTACGATTATAGATGGGGTCAAGACAAGAGATTAGAGGTAACATTCAATACGTAAATCAATAATCATCTAAATCTGTGTCCAAATAAGTTAGCTCTCTAGCTGTAATTCACCTATCTCAATCTCCTTTGACTCCAAGAGATACTCCAATTTATCCACTTCATCTTTTAGTTCCCAAAAATCTAGTTCTGACACAGCCACTCCTCTGTTTCTCCAATATTTAATTCAGTATCTTCATCAACCAAGTATGAATAATCATTACTACCGTACTCAAGCTCATTATCAGTTCGATCTAATGGGACCTCATTTCCTTCTGTAATGCCAATTTCATATTCAGTACCATTCTCTTCATCAGACAATAGTTCAACAACATCATGATTTTCTTGCACTAGACAATCTCAATTAACCTCATCATTAACCTCATCTTGTTCCATTTCTACTTCATCCTCAACATCACTGTCATCTTCTTGATCCTCTTGAACATGAGTGTCCTCCTAATCACTGTCATTTAGGTGACTGGCTTCCATCCAATCTGTACGTTGTTTGCCCTGATGGATCACTCAGTTTCACCTTTACTTAAAATACAAATACAGTTGGAAAAATAGTTCTCAAAACTAAGGTGCTTAGCATACATGTATGTACCTGTACAATAATAATTATACATAAATGGTCAGTGATACAGCACTAATAATGATGCCTACCTCCTACAAAATTATCACTACAAATGCGGGAAAAAAAAGGCGTCTAATTTTTTTGTCTGACAGCCTTTATTCATCTTTTTCTTTGTTCTTTGGAAACCTGAAAAAACTTAATATTAGGTTTTCCTTGTCTGTTAGAACATCCATAGCTATAGCAAAGGATCACCATGTTGGTATCCAGGGGGCTTGGCATTTAAAATTCTAAAATCCTTTCTTATATATACGATACAATTACTAGCTACTAGCTACAAGAATTAACGCCCTATAGTGTCAATACCCAATCCCTCATGCCATGTTGCAACACAATTTACAAGCAGCACTGCCATGATATCAAGTATAATACTGAGCTCACTCTTCAATCAGTTTCAGGGAAACACCCTAATCCCAAACCTGCAAATAGCTCCAAACTTGACTAATAAAACAATGGAGAAGTCTACCATTGGCAACAAAAAACAATCAAGTAAATTATAGAAAGGTGCTGACAAAATTTATGATGATTTTGCAATGTGTTTGAAATTTGAAAGATTTTAATGAATTTATGAAAGTCTATAATTGATGCATCTTTAATGGTAGAAATGTATATCCATTTCATCTGAAAATAGAACATTGGTGGATTTCATAAGGGTTAGTAATGAACCTAACTACCTACCTGCTACACTAATGCCATGTCTAAAACCTGTCACTCATGGAACAGGAAAAGGAACCTTCAGTACAACGTTCCTATAGTTCCTTTGATTTGTCCTCAACAGACTTGAAATAGATTACGGTGAAGTGACATCATCATTGTCGTCCTCCTCATTGATGATACCAAAGTACTTATCAGTGATTGCATCAGAATCAGAATCATTACTGTCTCTTATTATCATTTAGCATCAAATGTGAGTTGCCAGCTCAAACGGCCTGTGCTCATATAACTGACATTGTTCAAATGACAAACTAAAGACTTTAAAAAGATGCTGAAGATAATCATAGGCTTCAACATAATGCTAGGCATTTTGTAGATGACATTCATTTGAATAGAAGCTACTCTGGTCTGGTCTGGTGGTCTGGGTCTGTTATATCCATATTGGTTCAGTAAGTTCAAGCACTCTAGTTCTGATTCTGTTACACAACCTCTGGTTAATATGTTGTTGAGGGATCAGGAAGGTTTTTTAATTGCTATTGAACTGGAAATGAATAAATTGATGAAAAAATGTAAAAGTATTGAGGTTCATGATTCAGACATTGGTAATGCTGACATTTGGTATGGTACCCAGGACTGTAGGATAAGAGCAAAGGCATCCCAAGTGGTTTTTTCAACATTTAATTTATAGATACTACTTTTTACTGAATAGCTAGTTAGTGGAAACATTTTAAAGAAATCAGTCAAAATATACGTGATTGATGCATTACAAAATTAAACAAGGTATGGTAGACCATTATACATGAGTATAATCTTAGACATGGCAAATAAAGTTATTTATGAGGCCAGTGATAAAATGCAACAATATAAATCTATTATAAGTAACACAGCTTTGATGATGCTGCTAAAGGTGGCTTCATACCTAGTATGTACTGTCCTTTAATTTCCCAACTTAATTTATCTTCCCATTTCAGTTTGGAAACAGTTTGGCAGAACTAATTTATCCTTCTTTCTTATTCTTTTCTTTATGTTTATTTCTCCATTTGGTATTCACTTGTATTATGACTGTCATATTGTTTAGTTAACAGAAAGTAACGAATTGACAAGTTCACTTATGTCATATAACAGTTCTTAACTAAGAGGTCCTTTGTTTAAAGACACTGTTGAAGTACTTTGCTGAAGAGAGGAACAGTCAAAACAAATTTCTATAACTTCCTTGTCCAGACATGTCAAACACTGTAAATGATATCCTGAGATAAATAAATGCACTATAGATTCACATTTTTTTATTAGAAACAGTCTCATTATAATATAGATTATACAGTCTTTATACGTGTATTTTATCTGTCATGAAGTCAATTTGATTTTATCAAACAACAGTTAGAGCTCTTGATTTTGTGAGGACCTCAAGTTCTATCTGTATCTATCCTGTCCGAGTGAGAGAAATTCTCTCAGGTGGACAGAATCATCTAAGTGGAACATGAATGATTTACACCTCTCATTTTTCCATTTCTAGATGCATGGGAACATTAGCTACCATTTTAATAAAAGTCACACTTCAAAGACAAGAGGAACACTTGTCACAGCTCTTCTGTCATGTAAGATCTCAGTTGATCTCATTGATTCTTATAGGTTTTATGATTTTGACCTTGATCTTAGTGACGGAAGAATCATTAATTAGCTCATTTACTTGTATCTTTTTATTTATTAAAGAAATATTAAATCAAGTATTAAAGAATTGATTACCCAGTGTCTGTGTGGGGGATGTCTAGATGGCTGGTGTGTTCTCCACTACTTTCAGTATATCTTTGGGACAAGTCAGCTGTTTTGTGGTTTTGACATAATGTTGTTGCTTGGAATCATTATCATAAATTTCTGAGTTCTGAAAAAGTGTCTGATGTAAGGGAGCCTACCCCATCCAGTTTAGCAAATAGCATGTGATCCAAACAACCTTCTCACAGCTAGCAACAGGTTACATAACTACTTTGAAACGCTGCATTCCATCTTTGGTGAATGAAAGATTGGTTGCTATAAAACCATTGGGTTATGATAGACAAGAGATGATGGGGAGAGAAACGATTTAGAAGCGATTGAGATCAGAAAGTGAACCAAGCAATGGTTTGCCAGCCTTTTTGAAAGTTAAGACAAGGAAAGGCCTAATATGATCTTTAAACAGATATGTACACTTTATGAGATAAAAATGATCCAAATTACTATCCACAGTGTGAGGATTGCCCGAAGCCCTAAGTTTTCACAGTAAAACTTCAAATAACTAGTGCCTGCCTGTATCTAGGTGGAGCCTGAGAAACAAGGAATTTAATCATAATGGCCTTACTGTCGTCATAATGATCTTTTAAGTCAGGCAACATTAATTTAAGAGAGGGCAATATACTGAATATTTTTAACTCTCATGATATTCAGTTATAACATATTGTTTTGGGGTGAATCCTGCTTAAGAACGCTACCACATTACTAATTACAAGTAATATCATATCTAATAAAATGAAACTGATACATTGTTTATTACTTGTTATTATCATGAGTGGTACAGGCAATATTTAGTAATGAGATATACAGGCAATATTTAGTAATGAGATATAATAACTCTTAGTATAAGTGTAGTATAAAAGGTACCACTACTAAACAAGACAAATGAATGTGTACTATACGTTCTAGGCTACGAACCATTAAAAAAATTAAAAACCATTGTGTATTACAAATCATATAACAGTTTTAATGAAGGCTATATTAGATATCTAAATGAGATATCGGGACTAGTTAGACAATATTTATTATTGCCCAATCATTATGTTAATTAAATGAAATTGAATGAAAATGAACGTGTAGCATTCAATCGATAGTAACGCACTTCGATATCATGATAGCAATAGCCCAGTTCTATCGTGATAGAGGAAACTACAGTACCACTTACAGGCAAGTTTATAGAGGCGTATGTTTATTATCTCTTGGACTCGCCACACGTCACGTGGTGTTCTTAATATTTGTTGCAACACAAATCTATCAAGTGTGAAAAAATATATCACGTGTGAAGTAAAAATGTATCATATGCAAGCATTGACTCCAGCAAGTGCACTTGTGTTAGAGCACACCAAGATTATCTCTGGAATTGAGAAGGCTGGTTTTCCTACTACACCAGAATGAAAGCTCAGTTAAAGGAAATTCAAGAAATCTCTTGTCAGCATCATTTTCACATGAAGATCCCCCGGTAATAAAATATAAAGCTTGCCACACTGCAATATTGGAATTTAGATATTAAAGACCAAGTAGCAAAATAACAACAGATAATGCAAGGAATATCAAACTTGCTTATAGGCTACTGGGGTGTTGCCAATTAAGTTGTTTCACACACAATCTTGGCCTGGCTGTCCAGCATGGCTTAGATGATCACAGGACTGAGCGAGTACTATAGATTTGTCGCAAATAGTTGCTAGTTTTCATATACATGTAGCTGGCAAAGGAGGAGACAATTATTAAATGAGCAACAGAACAGAAATCTCCCTACTCACAAACTGAAAGCAGACATTAAGACTGGTTGGGGTTCTGTATATGATATGGTTCACAGAGAATAATGGAGCAAAAAGAAGCTTTAAGGAAAGTACTTAGTGCAGACCACAGTACAGCTTAATTGGTACTTACCTAGCAAGACAATGATGTCTTAGATTTGTCCTTGCACCACCATGTGAGCTAACAGATCTGCTAGCTGGAAAGAAAAAAAGTCACTGCATCTGCTGTTATTCCTCTACTACAACACCTCACAAATCATATACACACATAGCACAGAAATAAAAAAAGAATCAAAGATAATATAGAATTGTGGTATGATGCTGCTACTAAACAACTAGTAGAGGTGTGTTTGTTCCTGGACCTTAGATTCAATAAGATGATAGAGAAAGTAAAGACTGAGATATCACAAATGACGACAGTAACCACAAGTACCAAAAATAAGGTCGAAACAGAATCAGCATTCAAAAAGCATAAGACTCCATGGGGAAAAGTGTTTGGTACTATAGTTAGGAATAATGATGGTAGTAGCAGTTCACTGCCGTCAAGAGAAAAGCTAGACAAAGAAACTAAGATGTACAAACATTTCCCCAATTTAGATGCAGAACTATCACCACTTGATTGGTGGAAAGCAAATGATCTACAGTTTCCTCAACTAACACAATTAGCAAGAAGGTACTTGACTGTCTGCGCTCTAGTGTTAGCTCTGAACCACTCTAGTAAAGGTGGACACATTGTTGGAGGAAGAGTACAGCTAAAGCCTAAAAAGGTTGACCCACTAATTTTTCATGCACATAACTTACATACATGTACATGTACATAATTGTAACCATATCATTATTAAGAGTAACCAGACTGTAAACCATATCATCTGTTCTGCTAGTAACTTCATTCTCTTTAATAATTGACACTCCCTCATCTTCAAACTGGAACAGTAAATGAAAAGCTCTTCCAAAATTCATCCCAGCTGTTCTCCCTGCAATGGTTCTGAACTTCTCATTTGCAAAAATCTCATGCATGCTTCTTTTATACAATGTACAGCCGTGTACTCGCCATGTGCTTGCGCATACATGAGTGTGTATCAACACATCCCTGCATTTGTTATGGCGTGGCACAAAAATATGATTGTGTCTCCTTGGATACATCCATGTTCATAGCCGTGCATGTGACTTTACTTGCACAGACAGTACTAAAGTGTATATACTTGCCCATGAGCAGTACTGTATCAATGCTATGGCCCAGCACTACACTACAGCTACATGTACTATAAAATGGGGCATTTGGGACAAGAAAGTTTGTACTATACATGCATGTGTACTAGACATGTACTATACAAAAACTACATTACATAACATACACAAGACGTACGTAGAGCACACATTCTTATTAACAGTTCAATTATTAAAGCGTTTAAAATACGTGCATCTATTAACTTGGCCATGGGCTCTGCTGTAATTAGTACAGTAGGCAACATCTGTTATATGGAGGTGTCCACTATTGAGAGCGATCATTAGGAGAAGCTCTCCTGTAGATCAATAATAAAACACAAATGCTTAACAATACTTGCCTCACGTGACTAAAGCTAGGTTTCATTCAATGAAATGCTCAAAACTGAATAGGCATAAATGGAAAAAAAATGCTTGAAGTGGACACAAAATTTGCCATTTTAATCTTGCATTTATTCGCATTGCATTATATGGCGAATGCAATCCAGGCTTTAAACTGAAGTCGTAATGTTCCAGCGTAACTATACACTCTCCCTATATAATAACATAATCTTGTATACATGCATGTACATGTAAAATTTACCGAAGATGCTATAATTATTCTGTAGTGGACATGACAATTGGTCCATTCCCATGGTTATTACAGTGTATGTCTTCATCAAACAAGGTGTGAACAGGTGACGGGTACCACATCATATGACTTTCACTTGATCTACAACAAAAAATTAATGACAAAAATAATAAATAACACAACATAAAGTAGTAATAATTGATGTTTATAGGAGGAAAAGGTAAATGAAAATTAACCTCTTTAATGTGTCCAATCGTGAGACGAGACTCTTCTTTAACTGCATAAAGTTAGCACTACATGTAAAAAAATAAACAATTTACTAGATAATACAAAATGCATGTACATGTATGAAGTCATTAGGTTCAATGATAACAAAAATGACTGTAACTACACAATAACATGTACACATGTACATGTACTGCACTAAATAATAATTGTATTAAATACTGTGCTAACATGTACATGTAATCTAACAGTAAGCAGGGGGCGTGGGTGTGTAACCATGAAAACATAAATATTAACAAGGGTGAGGTTTACGTATCCATACTAAAGCCTATAACTCAACATAGTCAACAAATCAAATATACTTTTGAATTAAAAAATTATATTTAAAATAAGTTGATTTACCTCCAATCCATTCCTATACTGGGTATCTTCACTGGCCTCACTAGCAACTAGTACAGAGTGTGACAGTCTGATGATTATGAACCTACAGTATATACATTGTACCCATCAATAATTACTTACAGTATCATACACATACACATACATGTATGCATCATACAGAGATAAAGATGGTACCGTAGGTCGGGATATATTCGCAGCTGCAATTATTTGTGGCCGTAAAAAAATTTCAATTAAAAACCATGAAAACCGAGGTGTTATTTTAATTGAAAACGGCGCGATAGTGAAGAAAAGCACCTTGCTGCAGTGTTCTTGAGCTGTTGTTCTTCTTGTGTCACTAAGCCTTGGTCTCTTTGGAGCTGCTTTACCGGTTCTTTTCAGAAGTAGTGCTTTGCCGTATTTTGGGACTCTCCACCCATTCTAGTTAGTGTTTATTGACTTGGGCGTGGTTTATTATCACCAGCACTCAGACCAGCAACAATTTGCAGCAAAGAGGCTGAAAGAGCTCTAAGGTAGCGGTCCATACAAGAAGTTAACAGATAGAGAAGGACTAGCTATTGGTGAATGGCTCCACTATAGCTGCTAAAGAACAGATGAATAGCTGAACACTAAACACGTGGTCTTAATTGTCATAGCAATGCTATAACAGTTTCCATGGTTTTTAATTGAATTTTTTTATGACTGCGAATAATTGCAGCCGCGAATATATCCCGACCTACGGTATTTAGTGATTAACTGAATATTGTACAATCTACATGTACATGTAAATATATAATCTGCAAACATTAACTAATAATAGGGATTATGTGACAAACTAAGAAGCTTCATCTACAAAGTCTACAATACTCAATGGCTATAAAATTTGCAAAACAATCATACCAAAACATGTACATGTACAAGCAATTAGAATTAACTCAAAATTCTAGTATTCTATAGTGTATACACAATGTACATGTACATAATAATGAAAAAATGTGTGGCAAAATTCAGAGCTCCTCCCATTTCTTAGACCCATTGACTGCATAGCAGAAGGCCTCACCTCATGAACTCATCCTAAGTACAATGAACAAACCCCACATGAACCTGAGGTCTTGAACCCATTAGAGTAACCTGAGAGAAGAGAGAGGGAAAAACACAAAATATATACATGTTATAGAAACATACATGTACATGTATGTACCATACATAAATCTATACCGTACATGTATAGTATGTACAAAGGAAAGGTTTAAGGTCAATAAACATAAACACTGTGACTATAATATGTACATGTACATTTGGTATAGATAAGGAAGATACAAGTACATGTAGGAAGAGAAAGATAAAGAGAAGGTACATGTACATGTACATGTGCGTGTGTACATTTACAAGTACACCTTATATATGTAAATGTCAATGCATGAATATCTTAAATTATTTAGCTGTACCTCAGATGGGTCCAGGTTCATTTTAGTAGGACCCCCTCCCTCTCTACCATTGACCAGTGTCCCAGGACCCTTGAGTATGGAGCTCACAGGCTCTATCATGATCACTCTTCACATAACAAAGGTGCAAGATTTGTTTCTTGTCCAGAGTCTGGAGTAGAAACCTTTCAACCAACCCAGTAGAAGTAGAGAGACAACATACCTGAAGGGATCCATCAGTTACCATACCGCATGTCTTTATGAATGCAGCATCCTCTAATAATAGAGTAACACTGGGGTCCTTTGAATGAGGTATGGTACTACAAGAGGGAGAGAAGAAGAGAGGAGAGGGAAAGTAGGATACACATGTACATTGTTAATATCAGATAGTATTTGTGCATGCAAGATAAACATCATGTAGATATACATGTATGTATGTAATGCAAGACATCACTTACATGTACATGCATGTACACATGTATAAGGTCATTCTACTGTATATATGTACACTATCTTTCTTTCCAGAGAGTCCCAATGAATGAATTAGTTTGATGTACATGTACATGTACAAAACAGACTGATCATCATCATTCAATAAGCCATACACCTTAGTATATATATACCCTCTTCCATTATTTGTAACTATATAATTATACATTTAAAAGTGAAATTATGTACAATGCAATTGAGAAAGGGTGCATGTACTGAGACAGAAAGACAGACATAGAGACATGTAATGGATTATGAGGAATTGAGACACCAAAAGAGAAGGAATATAATTATACATGTACAATGTACCTGCATTTGTAATGGCTAGTGCTTTCATTGCTTCTCTACAAAGTCTTGGATTAATGTCATTACAAAACTCTGTAATCAAGAGCAACAAAGCTTCATAACTGGGGACCCTACAACTTAATCGACCAATCAGATTCAACACTCCATTCAGAGAATATGACTAGGAGAGTATACAGCATGATAAAACAAATAGATTTCCTTTAAAATTAATAATTTATATGTACTATACTGTACCTCAAGAGTTTCTGTGACACATTGAGTAACAAACTAAATAAATTTAAAAATGAAAGGAACAAAAATTAAAAGATGATAGATTATATAGTTGGTTTCAGTTGAGTTGCCCAAGCACCACTTCTTATAACTTTTTATTACTAATGCCAGTAACCCGAAACTTGGTATAGTTGCATAATGGGTTCTTCCAAAAATCTGTACCAACTTTAGAGTCTCTAGGTGCTCTGGAAGGTTTTGAATGGGTTCTTCCGCTCTAGTTCAAAGGGAGCTGCCATGATGAATCATTATGCTCACGCTACATCACACTCGTGAATATCATTTGCATCTCATTATTATTTTTAAGAAAATTAATGTTTTTTTTATTTTATAAAATAAAAGCAGAAAGATAAGGTCCTCTAAAGAAGCAGGCATTCACTAGCAGTCTATACTACTAGGAAACATCTGCTATACCTGCCTATAGCCTTCTTGATCGCCGTTATTCTTCATCACCCTCAACCTAGGATGCTATCTTCTGTATCCAAGGTCTATGTCAGCTTTATAACAGAAAAAAGGTCTAGCCAGTGATAATTAAAGGTAGTAGTATCCAAAAGGATAGAACAGACAATAAAAGGTTTTAGAGGTGAAGAAACGCTCAATGAAAGAGTTTGCTTGCACTCTGCCACAATTCTGGGTGTGGCTAGGAGCCTAGGAATGACATTTAATGATGCAAACATTGATTTACTTCCTGTGGCAACTCAAATGAAACTGACTATAGAGAGATGTATGTTACAGGTATGTATCGTGTACAAGTAGAGATGAGATCATACAACCATTTTACCTCTGAAGAAAATTTCTTCGGCGCTTTTACCCAACACTTTAACACCATAGTGCCTTGACATCATTAGAAGCTATTTAATATTTTATTACATTTAATTAATTAATATACATGTGTCAAAACATTAACCACACACTTACCATGATCAATGAGAGATGCTATTTGATTCTGCTAGTAATGTGAGTGACGTAACTTGCGGAAGGACCCCACACTGCATAAAGTTAACGAGGATGCTACATATTTCAATACTACTTGAATAAATTTTGAATACTGATTCATACTGATATATAAAAGAGTCATGGCTTTGCCTAGTGATGGATACTATACCAGAGTCGACAGAGTCTTCAGGGAGTAAGAGTGTTTCTCATCCTCTTATGCCTAGGAAGCTTTCTTCAGTTTGAGCATGGGCTGAACATATGACAGATTGAATTGAAGTAAACCATAATATCTGACCATGAGTAAACCATGAGTAAACTGACCATGTGCACGTGGCCACGTGCGCGGCTGCGCGCGGCCTTTTTGGCCCGCCCATTATTTTTGTCCCGCCCATTATTTTTGTCGTATTTATGTGCGTGGGTGTTAATAGCAGGTAACACCCACGCAATTAAGTATAGGTAGCTGGATAGATCACTGGATAGATCAATGGCTAGTGGAAGCCGAGTGTTTTATTTAGGTAAGTCCATGTTATCTGGCATACCAGATAGTGAAGCGATAGATCGAGACTACTTTGTATGGTCTAGTAATGATTAACAAATTTTTCTATGTGCTATAGATATCAGTCATATAAAGTTAGTAAGAGATGCTTTGAAGCAAAGTCACTTCATTAATGCTAACTGGTTTGATCTTGGAGTAGAATTAAACCTACCTTATCCTGATCTGGCAAACATTAGGGCTAAATGGTCAAATGATCCTTCTCAGTGTTTACTGGAGTGTTTGAGCTTGTGGTTGACTTCAGCTAATAATCGTACTTGGGAATCATTAGCTAGTGCACTTGAGAGAACGAATCAATACACAGCTGCTACACTCATCCGTAATACATGTAATGTCGGTTAACTTACATATATGCATACATATACTTAAATAACATTATGTGAGAGTACACAGGCTGCTGGTATAGTTTTGCCCCGCCCCTTCGCTACCTGCGGAGGTAGCGAAGGGGCGGGGTGAGACTAGTGCTGGTAGTATTTATGTGCATGCATGTTATCATAGTTTTGGTGCCTATTACATAATAGTATAAATTTTTCATAACTTTTGGATAGTAAGCTTAATATTATTGCAAACCACTAAGTTCAGTAAAACAAATTTACAATTAAAAAAACAATCAGTAGTGACTGTTTGCTTTGAAGCACCTGCCCTGAATTAACTGTGACACATCACACCAAGTAGTTAGATCTATGTATCAAATCTCCTGAAATCTGATAATGTAGCCATAATGCATAATTCATGTTAAGTGTTGTGATTAAACCTGATGAGATTCATTTATATTTCCATAGATGATGATCCTGCTAGTCAGATATTCCAGCATTACAGTAATAGAATATCACAAGTATCTCTCACTGATAGCTGTATCCAGTTGTTATATACAGAAGGATTAATCACTGAGGATACACAAAGGAAGATTAAGAGATGTGGTGGCTCATTAAATGATACATTAAGAGAATTAATGATTGCAGTATCTGATAATCACAGTAAGCTGAGGTCACTAGGAAATATATTAATGGAATTAGAAAAAGCTAAACCTTTAGCTCAAGATATTATTGAAGACTGTGGTAAGAGTGATAATTATACTAATGTACAGTATTATTATTATTTATATTTCTTAATAGATAAAATTATTAATAATCCAGTGACTACAGCTGTAGATAGACCAGTTACCAGTAGTACAGTCCATCATTTTACTCCAAATGCAACAGCATCTTCAGGTACAGTTATTAGTTTAAATTGACTCTTAGTAATATTTATTATTAGTTGGTGAATTCTTTTTCAATGCAGCACATCAGTCTATGTTTGACGAGATCAGAGGAAATTTTATTATTCTTATTGATGAGCTAGTTCCATTGATATGTCAATCAAAAGCATCCATTGAAGAAATGAAGTCATTTCTTCAAAAATTTCACCCAGAATTGAGTGCTGAGCTGTCTGATGCTGATAGCATTGAAGGCATTATGAATATCGCTGTCAAAAAGTGCCGAGTCAATAATATCTCAATAGTAAAAGCAATTGTGAAACGTTTTAAAATCAATCGAGCAAAACATCTGATATCAGAATATGAGCAAGAAGTAAAGACAGTTAGTGGATCATTGAAGGATTTCCTTAGTCAGAATCAACCCGAGCATTTTCTCATTTGTGAAACAATTCAGTTTATATTGGGATGGGAACCAGAGGAGCATTCACTTGATGACATACGTAATCTCTTAGAGGAAGCATTTAAAGAATTAAACAAAAGGATTATTGTACAAAGCATTCATCGTGGGAACTCCATCATTATCATCTGTTATAGTCCACATCATTTACTAGCTGCTCTTCTCTTTGAAGCACAAGACAAACTAACTGTCTTGAAGGAATTTAATTTAATTAAACTAACCATTGGCCACTACACTGTCTATGATAAAAGGATCAGATACAAAGTATAAGATACTGTAACTGTATGAGACCTTGTTAATATTATAATACTGATTATAGGTAATGAATGAGCATCTTGCAGAAGATATTAAACTAGCTGATGAAGAGGAACAAGAACTGAGGACTTTGCTTGATTGCAAAGAAGGTGTGTGAGTTGATCTGTTATACTCAATTGCTGGTGTTACTTATACTAATGGTATAGGATCAATATTAGAACAAAATAAAGAACTGAATATTATCAAAAAAAGAAAAGGTATAGTTGATAATCATTTGAACAATCAGTACAATTACCTTATAAATTAAAATTTTCATTGTGTGATTACTGTAGAGTCTAAACTGAAAGTGAAGCTATTGACTAGAGGGAAGTTGATAAATAAAATATTCAAATCAAAGAAATCAGAGACTCAGTATTTCCGAACCTCTCTCCTAATGAAAGCAGGTACTGACTCTACTAGTATAATCAGTCTATACAACCTTATCACAGGAAGAGAGGAGGCATTAGCAGAGTATAAGAAAGCGATTGAATTACTACAAGAAAATATATCAATAACTAGAGTACAACTGCTGATGAGTCAAAAGGCAAATACTCACAGTATGTGATACATTAAATCATTAACTGATTGATATATTATATATATATATAGAGAAGGATCAGTGCACACAATCGCCAACAGCAAAAACTATCTACACAGCTCATTATGACTATCACGGAATATATGATAATGATCTTTCATTCAGTGAGGAAGAGCAGCTTGAGATATATGAGAAGACAGAGAGTATTTTGTGGTGGAAAGGAAGATCCTTGGTGACTGGTGATGAGGGATACATTCCTAGTAGTTATGTTTACTCAATGTTGGAGTCACTTCAATTGTTAGAATTTATACTGTCATTGGAAGAAGTGTCCCTTCCTATTCTACAGAAGATAAGGAATGATTCATCTCATAATGATGAGAAAGCTTCTCTTTTTTTGGAGACTATTAATGATGATCCTATTATGATATCTGCACTGAGACAAGACAAGTGGCAACATGATATTGGTAATTATTATTGTGACACTCATAGTGCAATTATGACAATGAGTAGTTTTGTTTTATAATTGTATTACATTGAATATAAACATAATTATTATTATGAGTAAATATAAATGATAAACATTGTTAATGTATATATGCATATTAATTTTAATGTATATAGACTGTGTGTGAGTTATTGCATAATTTATTTATAATTATTAGGACTCACTGGGGGAGTGGACTGGGACAGTGACAGTGTATTCCTTCACTCTCCATCTCCAGTTCAGTGCAATGAAGTGATTAGTAATATTAAAGATCATAAGGAGATTAAACTTGACTCCTCATCGACTAATAGTACAGTATCTCTACTATCATCAACTAAACTGCTTTCACTAAACCTGAGGAGACTTGTGATATGGTGGGCTCCATTAACTAACGATTGTATCCAGTACTTATGTATACTACTAACTAATAATAAAACAATACAAGAACTAGACATCAGTCGCTACTCCATTAGTGATAGAGGAGTTACTAGTATCTGTCAAGCACTTAAACATAACTCTACACTTACCTTAATTGATCTTTCTTATAATCCACTCATCATTTCTAGTGGGGAGGCTCTTTCTCACATCCTAATCAATAACTTAACACTAGTTGAACTGGATCTAAGGAAGACTTCACTGTCTACTGAGTCAGTAATACTCCTTTTCCAGTCACTAGTGGATAATAAGTATGTAACAAAACTCAGGCTAGACTATCGACACAAAGAGACCTGTATTACTTACCCTATCTATCACCTCATACAAGACAGAGTAGACTGGTACTAGTCACTCTTGTGTATCTTCATCAACAACAAATGGCCAATCAGAATGCAAAAGAATGTGTTATTTTTATTATAATATTTCCATCAGCTCATCTTAATTTATTTTAAAGGCATAAAAAATTATCATTTTGGCCATCACTGCAAGTAGTATACAGGCTGCAGTACAGGTATTGTTAGCAGCATCAAATGTAAGAGCAAGATTAGAACTACTGATAAACTGAGGGAGACAAGCAATAGCTAGTATAAGAAGAGAGAGCATAATTATCCTCTTTGTGATGATTGTTTACTGTTTACTCCTCACTCCTTTCACAATATTCAGAAGAGCCTGACTAATGACATCAGACATGATGCTGCATGTATGCAATGCATGGATACATTCAAAAAATGTACTCTAGTCCAATAAATTGTTAGCCAAAAATTTGCATGTGATGTGGTAATAGAGTATCATGATCAATTTGCATACTTTCTATAAAGTAAAATATTGACTATTCATACATAATGCATTAATTTACTACAATTATTTTTAAAGTCTAACAACTACATGTACATGTACCTAACAACTTCATTATCCAACCCATACACACAAAAACAATAATTATGTATCAATTTGTTTCATTAGTACATTGTGTATGTATTCTCATTATTTATCATACAGCTCATAAGTTAATTCATCATCGTATCATCTCCATCAACCTTTATTACAAACCACTAACATGAGTATACGTTCTTTGAACATTTGCTAATACATACAAGTACAACATCATGTCTGACGTCATTAGTCAGGCTTTTCTGAATATTATAAAAGGAGTAAGGAGTAAACAGTAAACAATCATTACAAAGAAGGTACTAATGCTATCTCTTTTTATTTTACATGTAGTTATTGCTCATCAATGAATAATGTACATAACAAACATGTTGATTACAAATTAAGGAATAAGTACATGTACATACATGTTTCAATCAGCATGTGGTTCCTGCCAGTCCTGAGTCCTGACCACAAAAAATTGCAATTAAATGTCATTTCAATAATATGTCACTGAATGTATAAATAGGAATGATGCACATGTTATATACATGTACAAGTTCAAGCTTTTGTGTCCCTTCAATTTACTGGCTAATTCCATTCTCTTACTAATAACAATGAGACCATGCTGCTCAAAATGTCCAGAAAGGATTCTGTAACTGGGACTACTTGAGGATCAATCATCATTGAGAATACTAAATGGGCAATGTAAAAAATTACAATGTACTTGTACATGTGTAGATCTTTACGTGCCTTTTGGTAAAGATCAATATTACATGTAGATCGGGTATCTGTATTAGCTAACATTGAATATGGTACCACAACAGTGCATGGTAATATCGGTCATTAGAATAGTGGTAACAAAGCAATATTGGTGCATTAATGCATCATTTACTTTTGTACTAGAAACACGTAAAAGTCAAATATGAAACTTTGTAATATCAAATATGATACATTAACTTTCAAAACTTACAAAAAAGTAAGAAATTTTCAGTCATACATGTACATGTAGATTACATTAATTTTCAGTCATATACAAAAATTTTGAATATTTTCAGGATTATTTCTTGAAATAAGAAAGAGATTAATTTAACTATTATCCATTAACTATATGTACTAACCTGATACATGTATCAAAAGATAATCCATTGATGGAAAAATACAGTGCATCAGATGACATCTTCCAGCACTAAAAGGGTGGGATGAATATAAATGGGCATGGTTAGTGGGCATGGTCTTACCTGGTAAATTTTTGACCAATAATGTATGTAATAAATGAAATATTCTCTTCATAACTGATAAACATGGATGAATAGAACTTATTATACACTAATGAGCTTCTCAACAAATTAGTCTATGGAAAGAGATTAATACAATATTGTTATTATTATTATTTATTGTTATTATTATTATTATTATTATTATTATTGTTGTTGTTGTTGTTGTTGTGTATACTTATAATAAATATTGTGAATAATAATATAAAGGCAAAATTTTAAGCAAATAAAAACTTGTGAAAATCTACAATACAGATAAATGCACTGTACATATACATCAGTAATATTATTGTATGGATAAAATAGTCATTGGTACCAGTTTTTAAAATGCTTGTAAACTCAAAATGTTTCAATCGGAATCCAATCAAACTTTCTACATAGCACTGATAAGGCTCGGAAAAACATGGGCTATAGCCTTTGCTTTTTTCTGAAAATTTGATTCATTTTAAAAATGCTTGTAACTTGACATGTATTAATTGAAATCAGCTAAAACTTTCTACATAGCATAAAGACATCAATATGTATCAGAAAAGGAAAAAAATTGGGGAAAATTTGGAGGCTGTAAAAAAACCATGGGCTATTATAGCCTTTGCATTATTCCAAAAATCAGCTCATTTTAAAAATGTTCATACATGTACATGTAACTCAAAAATTATTTTTTGAAACCAGTTGAGACTTTCTACATATCATAAGGACATCAATATGCATCAAAAATTGTAATAAAATGGAGATAATTTTGGAGCCATTTCTTTAAAAAAATATGGGCTATTTTTAAGAAAATGGCTAATTTTTAGAATTCTGATATACGTGTACATACGCTGTACATGTATAATATCATAAAGATGTCATAAAGTATTCTTTCATACTTACATAGCCCTTTTTATAAATGATGATTCAGTCTATAAAATAATGATTCAGTCTATAAAATAATTTCCTTCTCATGCTCAATATTCTAACCAGAATGAACAAACACCATATATACATGTAACTAATCAAAAGTTAATTGACAAACAAAAATGATAATGTACACATAAATGTACATTTCTGGTCATTAAACTTTAGACCAAATTTACACTTGAGCCATATATAATTATACGTGCACATGTATGAGGTATAATTAAGAATTTCTAAATTTTATGACCTTGAAGACACATAATGATTTTTAATGATGAATTATTTTGGCAAATGGCTATGAAAACATCAAATTCTCCTTCCTAGAAAATTAGAAGTATTATAGTTACATGTATACAATATTACATGTACTTATTATACTATGGAATATTGTAAATATCAAAAATTAAAGTTTAAATCAATTTTGAGCAATAATAGACAAGGAATGCAAGTGGGCATGGTGATAATAATCGACCATCACATTCTGCCAACCTTAATCAAAGTCTTTATACACGGTCAATGACTCAATGGAAGGGAAGGGCTTGTTCAGATGCCATATCCACTGACAACAGACCATCAGCAAAGCATTAAATTCAAACTGTTACAGCTAGATATAATAAAGAGAAAAAAATTAATCTATCACACAGAGGTCACAATTAGGATACTAAATGTTGGTGCATAATTTAACAGAAGTCCTTGTACATTTATACTACATGTATATGTACATGCACATGTACATGTACATGTACATGTATATGCAAGCAGTGCAAGGTATATTGTCAAAAAAATTAAAAAATGCTAGGAGAGAATTCAATTTTACTCATACTGTACATACATGTACAATGCATACACGTACATGTACATGTACAAGTGCATGTCCTAATGATGTGGCAAAATTTTGAGCTAAATCTGATCAAAATTGGATGTTTTAATGTACATGTACTACATGTAAATAGCTGGAAAATTTGGCAACTTAAAACTTTGACAGTTTTGCATCAAAATTGCCTACATATAATATTGGTGGTCTCTTAATTTGGCAATTTACTATCTTGCCTTTCCTTTAAGCACTCTCAGCTTTTCTTAAAGCTTTTCCTAGCCCAAAATTTTGACTGAAATACATCAAAAGTGGACCAATTTGGCATTTCCTTTCAGTATCATGTGCTCATAGTAGAATCTGCCCATTGCAATTGTTATTGACAGTTATAGTCTTTGCAGTTTTATTTTGAACCGCCAATCTGCCAAATTTAATTCTCAGCCAAATTGTTTGGCAACATGTATCAGAGCAAAATCCTGTATTTTATAGTACAAGACATAGGCCAAATTTGATGAAATTTGGCCAATAACCTGACCTTTAGTACATGGATTTTGGCCTGATTTTTTTAGCAACTTTACAAATTGAACATAAGAAAATTTATATGTATCAGAAAAAATTGTAAAAATGGAGAATTTTCTTCTTTTTAAATTTAACAAAATTGAATAAAGAGATTTTGCAATTTAAAATTTTTTTTGATACACACCATGTACTTATGTCGTGTAGAAATTTTGAGCTACATGTACATGTACATGTAATTCTAATCAAATTTGAATTTTTAAGTTACTTCAAAATCAGGACAAACTCCCTGTACTAGAGTACAGGTCATTGTAAATTTTGTTAAAATTGAAGAGGAGAGAATTTCCAATTTTATAATTGGGATAAACATACAAAAATACTGATAGACATACAATGTACTTGTGTTGTGCAGAAAGTCTGAGCTACAAGTAATTCTGAACAAAATTCAAATTATATATGATTTTAAAGTTGCTAAAATTTGGCAAAGCATACAAGTAAAAGGATACACATGTACATGTACATACCACTGACTGTGTGTCCAAGCCTTGTTGTATTGGTACCAAACACACAACTGTACGAGAGACCAGAGGAGGTGGGGGAGGGGCAGGATGACGAGTGGAATAACATACCTCAAGATACTTTGAGTCTCTGGGAATGTGTCGGGTAAATGAAACACATATTTTCTATCAACACTCTAAATAGTGAGAGACATGGAGATAAAGGATTACATGTACATTGTACTTGTACATTATGTACATGTACATGTATATTTACTTTGATGCAAATTTTATAATTCAATGTTGCTTGGCAAAGCTCATCTTAAAATACAAAAAACAATAATATTAATTTGTTCATTAATAATTTTGTTTAAATGGCCACTACTCAATAATTTTCGTTGGAATCAACTCAAACTTTTTATGCATCACAAAATGTACATTTACGTGTCCTTTCCATTTTAAGTGATGAAGTGATAAAGAAAGTTACTGCAAGATACAGGCTAACTACACATGTAGCTATATGTACATTGCTTTGCTGACTCATACATGAAGATCATACAACACACAATTAGCCTATGGCTGGCTTAGGCTCGCCCCTTTAATGTTCTACATTACTCCTAGTTATCTTATAAATTTAGAAATGGCCGGTGTACATTTACAAGTTTTAGTTTTTGTGTTGTCTTCAATAAATAATGATTTACTGGCTAACTCCCTTAAAACAGCACTTGTTTTCAAACAGACAATTTTAAAATGCATGTCAAAAATGATTCTATACCTGAGGATCAGTCATCAGTGAGTATACTAACATTAGCAATGTATACCGTATAGCGGGAAAAATTGGAGGGGCTAAAATTTGCTGAATTGCTAAATTTTGGTGATTGGTGGATTTTGATTTGGTGAATTTGTGGCCACGTGCCATTGAGCATGCATATATAATGGCTCAAAATGGAGGATTTTTATTTTGGTGAATGGCTATCAAAACACCAAATTTGTCAAATTTAATCTCATCCAAAATTTCCAGCTATACGGTAAATCACAATGTGCATGCACACATGTAGGTCTGTGCCTTTTGGTGGAAGGACAATATTGGATGGTTATCTGTATCACCTAATATTGTCCACGGTAATATCGGTTATCAGAATATTGGCAAGAATGTAAAATTGGTGCATTAATGTATCATGTACTTTTGTACCATAGACATGTAAAACTTACAATGTAAATTTGTAACATAATAAATATATAGTATTTTTTAAAACTTACGAAAAAGGTAATAAACTTTCAGTCATAGCATAAAGTAAATTGATTTTCAGTCATAGAAATTTTGAATATTTTCAGGAATGACAAACAGACTAAGTACATGTACCTGAAAAGAGAGTGATCAATTAACTATTATTGATTAACTGCTAACCTGATACACATATCAAAAGGTAATTCCACTGATGGACAAATATCAGACAACATCTTCTAGCACTATAAAAGAGAGGGTGAACATAAATGGGCATGGATAGTGAGTGTGGTCTCACCTGGTAATTGTTTCACTGATAGTGTACAATACATGTGCATGTATGTAATAAATGAAATATTCTCTTCATGTAACTGATGGACATAAACGAGCAGAATTTGTTATGCTTCTCAACAAAAAACAGTAAATTAGTCTATAGAGAAATAAGAAAGAAAAGCAAATTAATAACAATTATCATGAATAACATGAATAATAATATAAAGGTGAAATTTTAAGCAAATAAAAACTTGTGAAATATACAATTTTGATAAGGATTGGCTCAAAAATTCTACATATAAATACACTGTATATACATGAGTATAAAAATTATTGTATGGAGAAATACATGTAATCACTGAGCACAACAAGTTTTTGAAATGCTTGTAAACTCAAAAAGCTTCAATCAGAATCAGGTCAAACTTTCTACATGTACAATGTACATGTAGCCCTGATAAGGACATCAATATAAATTTAAAATGTAATAAAAGTTGGGGGTCATTTAAGGCTCATTTCTCAGAAAAAATGGGCTATAGCCTTTGCTCTTTTCTAAAAAATTGGCTCATTTTTAAAAATGCTCATAACTCAAAAATTATTTGATGGAATCAGCTGAAACTTTCTAGTTTCTACATATAATAAGGACATCAATATGCATCAGAAAATGTAAAAAATTGGAAGGGTGATTCAGAGCCTTTTTGGAAAAAACCATGGGCTATAGCCTTAGCTTTTTTCCTAAAGTCTGCTAGATGAAGTTAAAAAATGGTTATACATGTATCATGCAAATTGAAGTCAGAATTGGCTCAAACTTTCTACACGTAATAAGGACATCAATATGCATCAGAAAATGTAATAATAATCTGGGGCAATTTTGAACTCATTTTTTGCAAAAACCATGAGAATTAGCTTGCTTTTTAAAAGGCTCATAACTTGAAATAAATTTGTCGGAATCAGCTGAAACTTTCTCCATAGCATAAGGACATCAATGTGCATTAGAAAATGTAATAAAAATTTGGGCTAATTTTCGAACCATTTCATAGAAATACATGGGCTACAGTACAGGGTATTTTTAATAAAATTGCTAATTTCTAAGATTCTGATATCATAAAAATATCATGAAGTATTCTCTCATACTTACAATGGTCCTCATTTTATAAGTGATGAATGATTCAGTCTATGAAATAATTTGCCACTCAAGCTCAATATTCTAACCAGAATAGAACAACTTGATAAACAAAATGATAACATACATGTACACGTACATTGCAGGTCAGGTGATTGGCCAAATTTCATCAAAATTGAATATAAAGATTTTCCACTTTAAATTTTTTTCTGATAACACACCATGTACTTATGTTTTGCAGAAATTTTGAGCTAATTCTATATAATCAAATTTGAATTTTTAAAGTTCTTCCAAAATTAAGACAAATCCCCTGTACTAGAGTACAGAATCATTGTAAATTTTGTTAAAATTTAAGAGGACAAAATTTCCAATTTTATAATTTTTTCTGATAGACATAAAAGGTACTTGTGTTGTGTAGAAAGTATGAGCTAATTCCAATCAAAATTGAATTTTATATGACTTTAAAGTTGCTAAAATTTGGCAAAGCATACATGTAAAAGGACTAAACATGTACATGTACATACCACTGATAGTGTGTCCTTACATTGTTGTATTGGTATCAATCATACAGCTGTACGAGAGACCAGAGGAGGTGGGGAAGGGGGTTGAAGATGAACGGAATAACATACCTCAAAATACTTTGAGTCTCTGGGAATGTGTGAAGTAAAAGAAATACATATTTTATATAGACAAGGAGATAAAGGATTACATGCACTTGTACATTATGTACATGTATATTTACTTTGATGCAAATTTCATAATGGAATGTTGCTTGGCAAAGCTCATCCTTAAATACAAAAAATATTAATTTGTTCATTAATTTTGTTTAAATGGCCACAACTCAAAAATTTTAGTTGGAATCAACCCAAACCTCGACCCAAACTTTTTATGCATCAGAAAATGTACATTTACTTGTCCTTCCCAAGTTTCTTGTAATTATAACAGTAAATTTAGATCACTTCAATATAATATTGGACTTAATTTTTAAGCTGCTATGCTTTTTCGTACAGGTGCAAGGCATACCATACATGTACATGTATGTAGTGTACTATGCTCATTTGTCCAGCCATGTAGTAATTCAAAATTTGACTGAAATTAATGTACAAATTTAAACATTTAAACTACCTTGTCTGCCATTTTTCTGTCATTAGTAACTCCATCATTTTCATAATCAAATCTCTCTTTTACTTAAGTACATCAAAAGGTCAAGATAACTATTTCTTTCAATACCGCCATGTTGATGGTTAAAATAACAATAATTGCTTGGGCCCCGCCTAAAACTAGCCCCTCCTCCTATAGCCTATAGCTTAGGGCTAAGCTTGTTGCCTTGTTCTTTGATCAATGGCAACTAAATCCATGTCTTGTTCTTCTTCTCTGAGTCTCTTCTCTTCTCCTTTAACTATTGGTAATGTTCAGTAACTATTTATGTATCATTGAATATGATTTTAGAGCAACTTATTGATGTACTTAATCTGTTGAAGAGATGTGGTTTCCCTCAAACAAGGTGGCATGAGCTGGGACTGACACTAGGACTATATAAAAACACACTGGACATCATTAAAAGGGACAGTGACACAACTTATGAGTGTTTAACTGAATGCCTTTCCCAGTGGTTGTCCAGAGCTGATAATGTTGACAGTAAAGGAGGAGCTGCTTTTGACTCACTGTCAGATGCTCTTAAATCTATGAATGAGAACGCTGTAGCTGACAAGTTAGATCAAGAGAGTAAGTTAATATCACTGATTGTATTAGTATTGACTGTATATGTGTGTGTATTCTTTATGTAGAACATAATGCATGTTCGGCACTGGCTATTGATATATTCAACACTCATCATCCACTCCTCTCTCAGTTTCTCACTGATCCTGTCAGTGTAGCTATTATGCTTCAAAGAGAGGGTGTCATAACAGGACAAGTATTGGCTAGTGTGGAATCAGCTAGTCCCTCTGTTCCTAATCAACATGAAGTCCTGTTAGCTGCCATTATAGTAGCTATTCAAAACAAGTATAGTTTACTACAAACATTTGCTAGTGTACTGTGCAAGTTCACTGGTAATATAAAACTAGGAACAATTATACAAAGAGACTATGGTGAGCTAGTATAATTTTCTCAATAAATTTGATCTTTTACTTTTAGATAAAACATTTCATGAACATGATCATTTGATATTGGATGAAGAAGGTATAATTATTTATATGTACAATAGTAACAATCAATTATCATTTTGTTCATTTTAAACTCAAGAATCTTCTGAATCTTCTGGTTGTGATTCAAATAAATCAACACCTAATTATGGTGAGTGGTAATCTATGTACACTATTACATGCAATAGTCACTTTTTTCTACAGGTGGTCCTCTTTACATTCCACAATGTAAGAGTCGAGATTTTGATGAGCTTCATGCTAAATTTGCTAAAATGTTCTCAAACGTTCGCAAAGCTATTTCTAAATGCCCACCTCCTTTAGAAGATCTTAAGACTTTCATTGAAGATTTTAACTCTGACCTTGAAGCAGAACTGAGTTTTATTAGTAATCTTCAAAGTGTAATGCGTCTAATTAGGAAAAATTGCAGTCTCATTAATATTGTGATCCTTGAAGCTGTTGTTGAGCACTTTGAGATTAATGATGCTCAGAAATACATTGATGATTACAAGAGGGAAATTGATGAGTCATGTCGTAGTTTGTCAGTTGATTTGTGCTTGAATGAGCCATTTGATGTTGTTAGGGCCAGTCCTCCTCTTAAATGTGAAACAGCTACTTATGTACTAGGATGGGAAGCTACTGAGCATAAGCTAAAGGACGTTACAGATATTGTATCAAAATCTTCCGGTAAATTTATAAAGCTGATTAACATCAAAAGCATTGAATCTATCACCATCACTTGCTCCTTTCCTCACTCTCTTACTGGAGCTCTCATTATAAAATTGAGTGAGAATCTTGAATTATTAATAAAGAATGGTCTAGTGAAGCTTACTGTTGGATACTGCACAATATGGAAAAAACAGGTCTGTACATGTATTTATGTGTATGTACATGTACATGTATACTGTCAATAATTATCACTAAAATACAGGAACCACTGGAAGAGGATCTACAGAAGATAAAGGAACAATCTCATGATACAAAGGTATAATAATTATTTTTTGTTTGATATTATTTTATTATTATAATCAACAGAGACAGAAAGAACTTAAAGAAACTGTTCAGCAACTGAGAAACATACTTAATGAAAAAGAAAAGGTACTTGTTTGTTGGGGTATTACATGTATAGTAGGAAGTAATACTTCAATGTATAAGAGCTTATTGTTGGAGCATGTTATTATATTAGTGTAGCTCATTGATGGATTATAATCACTGCATGATTCATTATAAAAATACGTACATGTAGGAATTGAATAAAATCAAGGAAAAATTACAAGAAATGTCATCACTGAAAAAAACTAAGGTAATTATAATCAAACATTGTTTAATTATAAACAGTATTGTATTGCAGAATTATTAACACTATCACCAATGTTTACTTAATGTGAATGCTTATTGTAATTATAAGAGTATTGATCAGAATTACATCTAGTTATTAGTATATACATGTAGTATAATACTTAGTTACTGATAGGAGGATCAAAATGAAGAGGAATGTGCACTAGTGGAATTAAAGGAAGTAAAAGAAGCAACTAATGATTTGAAAGAGAAACTACAAAGTAATGTGGTAACTTTGAAGTGTCTCATAATGAGTGATCTACTAGTCACACAGCACTGGGCTTTGCCTCGTGCTGTATGTATGGCTTTCTCGACCACACCTCTCATGCTGCATTTCCTGTACAGCATGGGGAACCATGCTTTAACTAATACTTATTTCTTTTAGGAATAAAAAAAGAATATGACATTAAATGTCATACAGATTCTGCTTCAGGTCAGAAATTTATGATTTCTATTATTATTAATTGTTATTACAATAGCAGCGTCATACAAAATCATAAAGGGAATGAGAATGGAAAAAGAACAAATATTAACAAATAAAACTGGTACTGAATTATAATGTATGTGTCAGTGTATTATAATTATACTGTGATAGGTTTACTGGATTGGAATGAGTCATTAATAGATATTAAGAGAGAAATAGCTGAACTACAAGAACAGATATCATTAATGAGTGTACATATACTAAATGAAAGAGAAGAGAATGAAGAATTGATGCATAAAATAAAAGGTACGATTATTTTTATTAATACATTTGTAATTCATTAGTAATGTACAGAGTCACTGATAGATTATAAAAGAGATACATTGAAACTGGACCAGGAAATATCCAGTGAACAGACACTAGTTAAAAGAGAAGTGGATCAACAGGTTATTCATCAAGAGATAAAGGAACAGTTGGGTAAACTAATAATAAGTGTGGAATTACATCAAACTAGTAAGTACCCATCAAATACCTCATGTAATTAATTGGTGAAGTTAAAATTACTGGTGTAGCACATTTGTAGTTTTGTGTATGCCTGTACACACGTCAAAGCATTTAGTAAAGCCACATGTACATTCAATGAAACGAGTGTACACAATTTTCACCTTTTGATGCAATAATGCTTAGAAGTTGATATAAAATTGGCCAAATTTTATTTTTGTGTTCATTTGCGTTGTGTTTTATGACAAGTGTAAACCGGCTTCAGGGTAGAGCCCCTAATGTTATAATATTCTTCTGGTTACTAATGTGTCTACTGTCTACAGTTCAATACCTAACACTATGTAATAATGCTTATATTGTATACAGTAAGTATGTAATATATAGAACATGACCCCGAGTGGTGTATCAGATATACACGAAAATGATATTCATAATCCCGAGGGCGTAGCCCGAGGGATTATGAATATCATTTGAGTGTATATCTGATACACCCACGAGGAAAAGGTCATGTTCTATATTGTTTGTATTAAGGGAAGCCATAAGAAGGAAAGGTTATGCGCATGCTCAGTACAGTGAGGTCAACTTAATAGTCACATTGCAGTATAAAGATGTAGTCGGGCAGCCAAGCAACCGGAAGTCCATATAAATTGTGTATAAACCTATTTCTCGTTCATTGAGCAACTGCGTGGGTGGTAGCATACATAGATACATGAAAACTTGGATAGAATCAGAGAACTATCACAGCAATGGACTTGCCACAATGAGAGATAAAGTGCTTGATCAATAGAGCACATCATTTATGAAAACAGCAAAGCTATGCTGTTTTATGGGGAACTTACAGCTAATTTTGAACACAATAATTCTATTCCTTAGAAAAATTTTCCCTCACAAGGAATACTTGTAAGACAACAATTACCTTGTAAAGACACCTTTTAAGTACCACATACCAAAATTTCATGATTGCACTCCAAAGAATACTGAAGTTACAATTTTTTTATTGTTAAGTATAATTAAATTAATTAAAATTTATTATAAAAATTGTAATAAATCATGATATCTTTATCCAGGAAGAAAATAATTGGGATCAAAGTCTATATCCTTACAATAACCTTCATCTATAATGCCAAAATAGGCAACCAGATACTTAACACAGTTCATGTGAGTACAAATATGAACGAAAATTGCGGCTCTCATGAAATCTCAAGATATCTTCCAAATACAGGTATAAAGAAAGTTGAAAACCACTGCAATAGCTACAATTTACATATATATCAAGAATTATAAGCTATACTTATGGATACAACAATGCTAAACACACACAAACACATAGCTAGGCTACTTGCTGGGACCTTTAATACCTTAGAAAAATTTTCCCTTTTCTCCTACAGCAATGAAACTTTTGCAGAATAACAGGCATATATAATACTAATAAGCTACCTTGTAACTGTGATTGCATTCACTCTATTTTACAAGTTATAGAATTTAATATGATTTTTGTGTCAGCCATTTTAAATCCTTACAGTGGAAACAAGCACCTGAAACACGAACAGTTCTTGATTATAAATGTAGAAGATCAGTTAGCTACATCTCTATCCAATGCTAAAAGTGCAGAGAACAGCAAAGTAACTGTAGACTTCTTAGCTTTGACATAAACAATCAAAATAGGCAAGTGGCACTACCACACTAAAAGTCAGCCATTTTGAGAAAAACGTCACTTCCGGTCAGAAATAAGAAATCAGGCTTGGCTGCCCGACTGGATGGCTGAACTGGAAGGAGAACCACAGAAGAAAAAGCTGAAGTTGGCTGCCTCTCAGAAAGAAAGATTCAAATACGTCAGTACCGAAGAGATGAGCGAATTATCCAAGGGTTTCACGCCTGCCAACACCGAAAAAAAAATACAAAGTGGGCCTTGAAATGTTTTTGTGAATGGCGATCTGCCA